GCTGTGGGACTGCTCTGGGACTGCTCTAGAAAGCAGACCCAGCAGTCCCTGGGACTGCTTTCTGGGACTGCTTTGTTCACTCATGCATGAAAAAGGTTCTGAGTGACATGATAGCTCCGCCCCTTGTGTATTCTGAATTTGCAGGCTCCCTGTTGTTGTTTTGTTTACTTTCAGCAGAGAGGTGTTTAAGATAAAGAATAAAAAAAAACCAAGGATTTTTTTTTTTTTTACAACATTTTAATAAATAGAGATAGATATACATGTAATTACTAAATGTCTTCAGGGGCTGTAAATTTACACAATTGTAGTCTAGAATTAATGTTAAAAAATGAAAGTAGTTAAAAGGGAAGTCAGGAGATGAGGCCTATTTATTTAATTAATGCCAATTAAAACTTTAATACAGGTGTTTGAAAAAAAAATATCGAGGCCTATTTAATTAATTAATGCTGTCAAGTTACGGAATGTACTCAAAGTTTGCATTAGCACTATTTAAAAACAAACAAACAATTAAAAAAACTTGTCATTACAATAAGACATTCAGAGGGACGTACTGTACTGGATTTTTTCTTAAATTGAAAAAACTAAAAAAGAGCATTCCATGCTCTTTTTTACCGCCCTCAAATAAAACCTAATAATTTATTAAATGACCATGAAATGAAATTATTCTACCATTCTTCAGTCATTTAAAACATTATATTTGTGAACAATTATTGGGGGATTTATTTATGAATTTGTTTTTGATTTATAAACAAGTAATTAAAAGAGTAAATTTATAAACATTTTAAAATATTGGGAATTGTGACTTATTTCTTATTTGTTTTGTTTGTGTTTTCCTGGCCGATTAATAAAAAGCAATACAAATGTATAAAATTGTGTCAACACCTGAAGTTTCAATCGCCTTCGGGCATGATTAGCAGAAAGTCAATGCATGTTATTTGGGTATCAGTGTTACACATCACTGAACATGCTGGTCAACAATGACACTAATTTCAATCTATGTACTGCAAAAAATCTTCGTTTCAATAAATGTGTATAAATTTATTTCGGGATTAATTAATTTTGAACATATTCTGAGGGTTCCATCCGCGTGATTTACAGATGTACACTCAAACGTTTATATAATAAAAGTATTATTGTTTTCTGTTACATAGATAATTTAACGATAATTAAATTGGCAAGTCAGTGAAAATAATCATGACTGAAATATAATACACAAAGAATTTTTTCAAAGCTCCAGTATACTAAAGAAAACTGCATTCAGAGTATAGTATGGAAATCGGCCTTGCTCTATAATTATAAGGCCTATTTAAAGCTAGTTTTGATAGAAAATAAATAACTCAAGCTTAATTATCTATATAAAAAATAAATAAATAAATAAATAATAAATATGGAAACCAATATCAATCACAGTAATTAAGAAATTGATTTATTTTGGTGAAAAATTAATATACCACAAAACTGTGTTTAAATATTCATGATATTTATAGGTGTGAACGTCTTCTTTGTTCAATATTTAATATTTGTTTCTATACGCGTAGTGTGATTTTCTTAACAGTTAAAAAATGACTGTCGCATGAGAATTGATACTGCTCAAAAAGAAATGGATCATCAATTTCAACTGCCTTTTATAGTTACATTGTTTATTGGTATTCTCATTTCTGAGCAAGCTCCGCCCATTAAACTAATTAACCCCGCCCACTGGGACTGCTTTCTGGGACTGCTGGGACTGCTTTCTGGGACCACTGGGACTGCTCTGGGACCGCTGTGGGACTGCTCTGGGACTGCTTTAGCAGTTCCAGAAAGCAGTCCCCGGGACTGCTCTGGGACTGCTTTGTGTCAGGTTGGGTCTGGTTGGTACTGTACATTAGGGTATATGACTATATGTAATCTTTTAAGAATTTTCTCTTGAAAATGGTTAAAAATGGAACGGCGAAGTATTTTTATCATTATCATTATTCATTGTTTATCATGTTTTTGCATTGTATATATAGATATTGTACCTCTGAACAGTTTATATATATATATATATATATATATATATATATATATATATATATATATATATATATATATATATATATATATATATATATATATATATATATATATATATATATATATATCTATATCTTATAAATGTATCCCATGTACTATTATTTTGGGTTGGGTGAATAAACTGAACTTGCACTTGAACTTGGGCGATTATCATTGGGTATTAATGAGAATGAATTATCATTAATACAATTAATTCCACTAACTTTTTGGTTACCCAGATCACGGAATATTTACTGTTTTGAAACTATGATGAATTGACGTTCGAGTTTGTTTTTTTACTAACTGACCACACGATTCTTCACACAGGGATTTTTTGGGAAAAATTTAAAGAAAATTCGATGCTGAAAGAATATATATTTCAAACATGCCACTACTCTAAATTTTGAAAGAACTTATAAATCGCAAGTTATCTAGCTTAATGCCGAGCAGCTAATATTGACTGCTGATAATAGCAGTATTGCTTCGGATGCTGCTTTTTCCTTCATTCTCAGCAAAAGTGACCATTTAGGTGCTTAGGGAGTAGCTTTTTTCGTAACTTTAACAAGCATTTTGAGAGTATTGCATATGCAATGCTAGCACCCTACCGGCAAATGTTATCTGGTCCTCCTAAAAAATTGAAATGCCCGTAATTCCGTCAAAACTCTTGAAAGCGGAAATTCAAACTTGATCTGTAACTTAGTAAAGGTAGACTCACATACCAAACATCAGTTCAATATTTGCAAGCTGTAGAAAAAGGGCGGAAAATTCAAGTGCCATGGGAAGGACTTACAGAGGGACAGACAGGCAGACAGTTGAGGAAAGAACCGTTTTTACCAGTAGGGGACTAGTTTTTAGCTTAACGAATCTTGCACAGATGTTACATGGAAAGAAAAGATACAAGACATGCTTAGGATACTGCTTGAAATACATTTTCTGAATGAGTGAGAGCATCAGATCAGTTATTCCTCTCATCAGCTGGATTTATACGCGCAACTATTCAATAAAGGAGAGCAATAATTGATTTGATGCGCTTATCAATTGAATCGAAGATAGGCCTATCAATACAGTGGCGGAAAATTTACTCGCAAAGAATCAATTTAGAGATTGTCTTAAAAAAGATTTTTTCCGTTCTTTCATTAAAAGAAAGTATCGTTCATTCCATTATTAATAATAAAAAATGAATTGATGATGTCCTTGATTATTAAAAGATATCTTCAATTATCGACTCTGAGATTAATGTTAATTAGATTTTATGTTAGACCGGCGTTGTACATGCTGTATACATGTATATGTCAACATGGGAACAGCTCTGATAACATACATTTTTGCCGTATATCCAATCTTTTCCTTTGATCTTGTGTACTGTCTTGTACATACATACACCATTTATACCAGTAAATAAAATAAAATAAACGGTGCAATTAAAAAATTAAACATGATCACTAGCTGTAGCGATTTTCCTGTGTGTTTATAACCTTGTAGTGAATTGACGGTTGAATTAGCTGTACTGATTTGCACGTGTGTGTTCAATAAGTGTAAAAATGTAGTGAGATTCATGTCGAATTTCAATATACTTAAAGTAAAAGATATCAAAAATTCCTATAGATACAGAGAAATCCTAAGGTTAACCTCGGTATATTCTGGTCTTACTTTCTCTTTTTCAAGCCTCTAAATCGGTGAAGCGAGATGAAGGTAAAATTTCAAATGTAGTCAGTTGGCTGGATTTACAAACAAGGGTGTGTGTGTGTGTGTGTGTGTGTGTGCAATTTATTTGAGTTAAATTGCGGTTAAATCAAAGCATGCACTTGACAAACAAGCCGGGTAAGAAAATAACGAATGCGCATGTCTTTTTAATAGGCTTTACCTCCTTCAAGGACAGAATTGTTGATGCAAAACACTAAGAGTCGAAGGATTGTATATATTTATAAAACATTTAATTTTTGCAAATACTTTCTGTTATCCAATAGTATTTAGGACATTTAAACTTTATTTCCGACAGAAAAGTTTGCCCCAGAGTTTTGCTTTGAAAAAGTAATTTTACAATTTGAACTAATGTGAAAGTTATGGATGAATGGAATAACCGATATACACCCTACCGACCTGATTGAGTTGGTTTACATGTAAAACATACCTTAGATCAAAATAATTCATGTGAGGAGGAAAGTAGAAAGAAAGACAGGACTATTTTAAGTTGTTAAAGGCCTATCAATTACATTATGTGATGAATCAGCAAAGAAAACGTAAGCAGGGAAAGAAGTAAAGAACGATATAAACAATTATCAACCCACCCCCCCCCCCTCCAAAAAAAAAGGAAAAAAATTAATCGTGAAAAATCTTGTTAATCTTTTTATTTATGCAATATCAGTGGACTTCAAAACAATAAATATTTGCGTCAATTCTCACAATTTTTGCCAGAAAATATGACAATATGTTAAAAAATGACCATGATATATATATATAAATATATATATATATATATATATATATATATATATATATATATATATATATATATATATATATATATATATATATATATATATATATATATATATATATACTGAAAGGAAAAAGAAACGCAGGGTAAACTTTTTAGGTGAAATAAGGCTATATATTTCAGACTTATTTTCCAGTTATCCCATCTAACATTTAAAATCATCTTTAATAGAAATGTAACCAAAATCAAAATCTCATTTGATTTTCCCCAATAATTCATGAGTTATTGAAACTCAAATGATGGTACCCCCAAAAAGTGAAAAATGAAAATTCTCATTATCTCATATGTCTCCCTCGCGCATCTGTCACGACCTTGATTCTCCTATACATAGAGTTCATCAGTGTGTTTATCCTTCTAATAGGGATATTATTCATCCCTTCCGAGAAGGCAGCCCTTAGTTGATTGAAACCAGCTTGGACATTTTAAACCATATCGTCCACTAGTCCCACAGACGTTTGATGCGAAAAAGATGGACTTGACGGAGATCAGTCAAGTGGGTAAATGTGATTGTTTGCGAGAAAAATCTTGACAAACCCTTGCAGCATTGAGAGGGGGGTTAACATGGCCAAAAAATAGGCAAACGACGCACGCATACGCGAGTTAGAGGAACACTTACGAAAAGTTGACGAGCTCACAAACCAAAATCGTGCTATCGATTTCCTTCATTTTTGGGGTGAATGTAACGATTATGATAGCCTGCTGTATTAATAGCAGTTTTAGGGTAATGTGATGGTGATTATACAGGTGGCAGGATGAATAGCCCGATCATGACGTGGCGCTGTTACGCGTCACCGTCATCGTCACGTTTGGTTGGAAATCTTTCTACGCCCTCTCTCAGGACGGGTAAGACGTTCTATTGTGGAAAAATTTACAACAAACAGCACAGAAACCTGTCGTTGCCTTTGTCCTTACTTAGGCAATGCAATAGCCAGACCCCATGATACTTAGTACTTCCGTCAAACGTACCTTGATTTCAAGAAATGCAGATCGACTGTAAATATCGAAAAACGATGTGTATAACTTAAGTGCAGCCAATGGTACTGCGAGATGTGTGCAAAAACATGTCGTCATCGATATGCACGTGTTTTCGGCTTTTTACCACTTTCCTTATGTGACTTCATACATTTCACGGTTGAGTAGTTCTGAACACTGATTTTAATGCACAGTAACCAAGATATCCCTCTGACCAGCTTTCATAATTTTCGATAATACAGTCAAAAAATTTTCGCATATTATGTTACCCTGCGTTTCTTTTTCCTTTCAGTATATAGATACACACACACACACACACACACACACACACACACACACACACACACATATATATATATATATATATATATATATATATATATATATATATATATATATATCACAAGATGTATCAAAGTATGCTCAAATCTATCTCTCCAATTACATGTACGCTCAAGTATATACTTATTCTTGTAAAAGATTAGGCTCTTGTCTTTGAAAGCAATAGATAAGGTCAAAATGAATTCTCTCCATTTATTAATTTAAATATAGAATTCCTTTTAAAAATCATATTTTCAAAGAGAAACAGAGTACAAATTATATAGTCGATGTTCAGTATGAACTAACAATAGTCGAGTATTCGAATATTCGTTGTCCTATCACCAAATTCTTGAATCTTGTTTCGAATTTGAAGGTTCTTATTTAACCTTGAATTACCTCATCTTTTGCCAAGGCTGTTTTGATCAGATTTTGCATATGATGAAGGCGGCTCTGGCGATCTTAATAACTCGTTGGTAGTTACTTCTTGGTATATCATTATCTTTCTAAACGTAGGTCGCTTTACGATCCATTTGTGAACTTTGATTGCAATTCTACTTTGTTTCTGCTGCAATAATTCATCAATGAGCATTGTTACTACCTACAAGGTTGCACTCTTCTAAACTTTTTTGTACAATTTGTCATCAAACAGAACGATTTTTCTAACGTTTTAAAAAATCATATATGAATTAAAACAAAAATAAGACCAATATATTTTTATACAATGATGCTTGTCAAGGTGTTTTGACAAGCCATGTAGGTACATGTAGGTACATCTAAAATGTAAGCCTCACAATATGATTCTGCCCATCTTTGGTAGTTCTTGGGTTTATATTTCTACAACATTTCTTCTATAGAAAAACACAGTGATGAGAGAGAGAGAGAAACACAAACTGTAACGTTTGCATGCAGAAAGAACATATGTAGAACTATGAATATATAGAAAAAGATTTATTAGTTGCTATCAAGGATTAAAGTGTCAGTTTTATTTACTGTAATTTTCTTTTGATTTCTTAAAAGATTGGAAATCTTTTGAAATTGTTAACTCTTCGATAATTAGATCATTTTCAAATAATATCCATTGTATTGAAGGGCATTGCAACCAACGAAATAATAAAAAATTTTAAATCATGCATTTTTTACGAATCACACAGACAGAAAGTGAAATTTCCGGAGATTAAAAAAATGAAATAAGACGGTAACAATCCAAAGGCATTTTATTACTCTGAATCTTCGTTCACCCTTTACCACATAATAGTACTCATCATACAGCATGTAAAACATAAAAGCATGGACAATTATTTTTATTAAATAATGTACATTTTGTTCCATTAAATGAAGATCCATGTTCATCCTATACGCTGCTACGTGACCAGTACAAAAGATCTCGTGGAAATACGCTTCAGCCAGGAGACATCAGTATCAGCGATAACTTCCTCTCTGCAGGATGGTATAGATTTGAAAGCGGTGCAGGAAATGATATGGTAACATCTGCACCCAGCATAACCCAGTGTGGAACCGTATTTCCCATATGGATGCAAGGTTTATACAATTAAATCAATATCAAAACCTAATAAAATTCATAATCTAATAATTAAAAAATTAATACAGATTGAGAGCAGGGCAAACATGGGCCCTTGGAAAATCTTGAGATTGGACAATCCAAAAAAAATCTGCATTTCTTCAAAACTACACTTTGATGTACTGCAAAATTCTTACTTTATGTAATCAAGAGAATGAATTTGGTGTCATGAAGAATTCATTTAAAGAACAACAGATCAGCTGTGGATATTATTTGGATGAAATTATGCTCGGTCTCTTCTTTCATCTGACATTTCATTGAATAAAAGTATAGAACAAAATGGTAACCAATGTCCTACAATATTCTATTTCAGGAAGTTTACCATCAGATGCTGACGGGGAGGTAGAAAGAACAGCCTGCATTGTGGGTTTTATGAATACATGTGAGAAGACTCTAACAATCATGGTGAAGAACTGCAGGGATTACAGAGTTTACCACTTGGTTCCATCTCCGCAGGCCTCCACAGGATACTGCATAGGTACATAACTACAAAGTCTCTTAAGGATGGATTCTTGGTTTCTGATTAGATGAAATATTCAAAGTATATTCGCTTATATGTCTTATATATTTAGATGTCAGGAATTTAAAAGATCATATATTTCTTTCCTCAACATAATTGTACAACTTTAAATAAAAATGGTAAACTGAGTTTGAGATCTAGCAGGGACTATATTTTTAGCGGAACGGCGGCGTATGAAAATATCTCCTTTTCTGCTTCTCAAAATTACTATAGAAAAAATGAATTTAGTTGAAATTTTTAAACAATCAAAGACTTAAAGAAAATTTCAAATGTAAGTAAAATTAATAATAATGGACTGAAGTTTTAATATATATCAAATAAATATGATTTCCCAAATAAACTACAATTTTGTTAACTTTTAAAAACTTCCAATCTAAGTACATATTTGAGCAAAAAATCCATAAAATCTTAGTAAACTGTCAAAACTTATTGTTTTTGCATCAATTTGTATCTTTATATGACTTCTTTACCATATGTGAAAATAAGGAACATTTTAAATATACGAAACATATAAAAATAACTAATATATCCTAAAAATCTAAGAAAAATAAAGGAAATTCAGATTAGCCAATATATATTTTAGTTTAATTATTTATGTCAATTTGGTAATGTCATCTGATAGACCTTATATGGTAATATCTTTTTATGCAAAAAGAAAACCATTTAATCTTTGAAATAGAAGTAGGCATCGCATGATTGGCAACAGTAATTTTTTTATTCTTACTGTCAAGGAAAAAGATAATGACCTTGACCTGACCTTGCTTTTAAAATAAAACGGTCAAATTTAATCTAACTGATACCATCACTTAATAATGATGTCTTCTTGAATCTTTGAAAATTTCATTAAAATTAAATTTTGAATGCTAGAAATATGAGAAGAATCCCTCCTTAAGATTACCTAGTGCATTGTCTGATTCTTTTTTTTTCCTTTATATCCATATCTTATAGTATCGAGTCTAATAAATGCACAAATACCAAACCACATAATGAAAATTTATACAATTCACTTAAAATATTCACCGACACGAACAATAGATATATTCAAAATCAGACTTTACCAGAGTAGACAGAGAAACTGGAATTTCTATGAAAAGGTCAGGAATTACTCCGACGGAATCAATTAGTTTTCAACTCTGAAATTAAACATGTACAATTGTTAATATATAGGGTTTAGAAGCAAAGTTCTATCGGAATTTGATTTTTTTTTCTCCCCATGTCCTTTGTTTTATGACTTTCTAGTCTTTTCTTTGTCAAGGAGAAAGCTTAGAGCTCCCTAAAATTAAGAAATTAAACGAAACTTACCTGACGTTTGAAGATGAAGTTTAATTGGAATTATACTTCACTGGAAAAAATGGAGGAATCACATGATATAGCGCTAGATTATCAGACCTCAGTGTTTAAATCCCATTTTAATAGCCGAAGAAAATTCATGAGAAAAATTTTTAGGGAGGGCAAATTATAAATCAACGAAGGGAAGGGCATGAAATTCCTCCATTTTTTCCAGTGATGAAGTAGAATCCCAGCGAACTTCAACTTCCAGGAAAGTTTCGTTTAGTTTCTTATTTCTACTTCATCACTGTCAAGGTCATTACAGAACCTCATGAGAATTGAAAGCTCTGAGGCTATTAAATATAACATGAGACAACATATAATGTTGACCGAAATTTACTAATAAAACATAAAAAAAACTATTCTCCACAAATCAAACTGTCATTATTGATTTACATGACTACTAATTATTTACATTTATTTCCTTTGAAGAACCTTATCACTGAATGTTGATTTATTTTTCATGCACGTTTTATTATAAAATGTTGCAAATGTTTGAGCATTTGCCCAAACAACATGTGTCATTATTTCATCAATTGTACATCCATTGGCTGCTGATGTTGACGTAGCCCTCGTTCTATGTGCTGAATACACATCTGAATTTACACGACTGTTATGCAACACGGTTTTAAGCCAACGAGCAATAGTATCAGTTGTAACTGCACAGTATGGTTTTTGATAGCTGATCAAAAGTACATCAGATTTTCTCAGATCTTTAGTCACATCTATGTACTTATGCAAATGAGTCACTACACATAGTTGGCGATCATGGTAGCTCGTGAGATTTAATTACTGATAAATGTTGACCAGGTTTGCTTTGCTTTAGGAAAGTCTCTATGTGAAATTCTGCAGAAGCTTCAGTCAGTTTCAGTTTATTTATAGACAATGCACGTAGAGTCTGAACTCTTTGACCCAATAACAGGGCCAACAACATGATTGTTTTCAAAGTCAGCATTTTCAGAGTAACATCGTCAATATCAATTTCCTGTAACAAATCCAAAACTTTGGGCACATCCCATACAGATTTGTATCTAGAAGGCGATGGTTTTCGATTATACACTCCCTTCATGAAACGTTTAAACAAAGGATGATTTCCCACGGTGATTTGTTCTGATTCCGTCAAAATGATCAAAATGATTTGAAATAGCAGACTTTGCTGTGCTTATTGCAGAATATCCTCAATTGTTTTCAAAAGTTCTGTTATTCAAATTTGTAGAAAAGGTATTAATTTCTCTTCGATTACAGAATTATTCCCACTTTTGTAAATAGCATATAGTTTGGCTGTGTTTGATCTCCATGTTGAGAGCAAAATGTTGGTAACGTTTTCCGGAAGGTCTTTGTTTGAGATCGATCTCCTGATAATAGGAATATAAGCATGTCCAATTTGTCCCAGATTTTGTGGATTTCGCTCTGGCTACTGTAGTAATGTTTTGCGCCTGTGAACATACAGTCGCTTTGCTATCAACATCTTCATGACTTTTGCATAGTATGGTTGAGTGGACTAATTTGGCATAACTAATATTCCCTTTGCTTTTTCCACTACCATTTTCTGCAAAAGTGTTGGTATTACACTGAAGGGTGGAAAGAAGTACAATTTAATATTAGACCAAGAAATAGAAAATGCATCAATTGCGTATGATTCAGGTTCTGGTTTCCATGAAACAATTTGTTCTATTTGACAATTATTGCGTGAAGCAAATAAATCAATTTCATGCTTGAAATTCAATTTTGAAATTGCAGCTTGAAATACTTTTTCTCAAGCATCCATTCATTTTCTTGTCTAAAATTTCTGCTTTCAAAATCAGCTGTATAATTTGTATTCCCCGGAATGTGAGCAGAAGAAAGCCATGTATTTCTGTCATATGCTCACATCCAGATTTTTCTAGCCATTTTATTACATTCTATGGAACGACTTCCATCTTGTTCCCTAACATATGCTACACCAGGTGTATTATCAATTAATAAATGTAAAGAAATATTGCGCTTATCATTACACAGTGCCTGTAATGCAAAATATACAGCTTGAAGTTCCAGAACATTAATATTATAAATTGATTCATTTTCTTTCCAAGGGCCACTTGCTGATATATTGAGCAATTCCAACCGCAACACCTCAAACTAGCATCTTTTTCAATTATCAGATCAGCTTGACCTCTTGTAATAGGGGCTTTGGAAACTAAGATATTACTTTACCACTAATATAAATCCTTTTTGGCCAAATCAGATAAATGAACCCAAGCATCAAATTGACCTCTTGCCTCCTTGAAAGCCTCTATTTTTTCATTTTCTAATTGTCTATAGAATAGCTTACCATGTGTTTTAGCTGGGAAACTTGCCACTAAATTACCTATGAAGGTACTAAGATCTCTGATGGTATTTTTCTTACATTTAAAAGAAATTCTTTGCAAAGGCCTATGATTTTCTCTGCTTTCTGATTTGTGATAGACACTGTCATTTCTCTAGAATTCTAAACAAACCCCAAGTATTCAAATCATTGACGGGCATTCAATACAGATTTTTCAGGGTTAATGACAAAACCACATTTGTTTAAAATATTTGATGTATCAATCACATTTTGATTGCATAATTCAACAGTATCCCCTTGTAAGTAAATGTCATCAATATAAGTGACAGTCTGGTGTCCAGATTTTCTAAGCCCTGCAAAAACTGGTTTCAACACTTTTGTAAATAATCTTAAGGACTCATACATAGTGCTATAGGAGTCACGCTCTATATTTGTAAAGTTTTGAGTTCCAATAAAATTTTAAATATTTGTGTTAATTCTTAGATACCGGTATGCTGTAATAAGCATCTTTGAGATCAATGGAAGCCATATAACATCCCGGTGTTATCATGCGTAACACTGAAAACAGTGAATCCATTTTAAAATGATGGTATTGAATGTATTGATTCAAATACTTCAAATTACAAATGAGCCTGTATTTTCCATCTTTTTTTTTTTTTTTTTTTTTTTTTTTTTTTTTTTTTGGCCTCAAGAATATGGGTGAAATGAATTCTCATATTCACTTTCTACTATTACTTTCTCGTCCAGTAATTTTTGTATTTCTGCGTCAATAGCACTTATTTATTTTTCGTTAAAACTACATTGATTAAGTATATTATTTTGTACAGGTTTAGCAAATTCAAGTTCAGTACCAGTAATTATTTTAAGGATTTCAGGATCTGAAGTAAGCTTTATCCATTGATCCCAAAAATGCTTTATTCTACCACCCTCAAAGTGTAGAATCTGTTTTTTAGCATTAGATACTATTTTCTTTGCATACTCCGAAAACTCAACAGAACAAAATTCTAATTTTTCATGCAACTTTACCTCAAAATAAGGTTCTTTGGAGCTACTTTCTTTAGTATCTAATCTTTTTGTATTTCTTGTTGTGGATCTTCTTTTTGAAGTATTTGTTCTTCCGTTTCTGATGGAATCCGTATCATCTTCCGTTTTGGACAGATAAATACGACCGACATTTCCCATCTGCCTGGCTTCTTTCGGTGACTTTGGCAGATCATCTCCAAAAAGAAGAGAAGTCACTGGTGTGCCACTGTCACACAGACCAGCATAGTCACTCTTTAGCACTGGTCTTAGAAGTTCTCTTCTTTGCATGGACATAGTTGTATTCGCATGTCCTAGCAAATAAATTGCATCCAAACAATTCCTAATATCTTTGTCATGTTTTTCTCCATCAATTTTCAGGAGACTGTCTGCAACACTTAAAATGGCACATGTACTCTTCGTGATCGCACTCTGAATGTTCATTAGGCGCAAATCACGTTTCTTAGAAAAGCCTTTTTTCTTCATTTGTCTCCAAATTTCTTTGTTCACTTTAGGAACCATCTCCTTTTCACAATTCTAAGGTCTTTTATGCACTTCTTTCTTTTTCTTGACACTTTAATAGCATGTTGCTTTGAAAAAGCTTTGTTGGTAATATTTGCCAACTTTTCAGCCACAGCAAGCCCCCACATCATCATCCTCCTCAAGTAAAGCATCCATTTCTTTCAGCACCGAGCCACTACATGATCCAATTGAGTCTTTACATGTACTTTCTGATGATTGTGAGTTTTTACTAGTAGCTGAATTTAGCAGACTTTTGACTTCATCCATGTCATCATATTCATCTGATGTCTCTCCCTCCTCTATTTCTGCAAAAGAGCGCTTGAAGTTGGAAGGTTGCTCAGTGACCTTTTGTTGTGGGTTTGCCGCTGCTAATGCAGTAAATGCATCACCCATTTTGTTAATGCCAGTGGCAACAGATTCCATCGTGCTTTGAATTGTTTTCAATGCAATGAAGGTGTTTTTTTTAATCTGATGATGTTTCATCTTCAGAAGTCCCCAGTAGGGCATCCTCATCATGACCAGTAGCCGTAATACTTATTTACAAAGTTAATCCTTTGGTCACTTTAAAACGCGGGAAAGTCTAAGATAACGGTAATATTCTTGTAAAGATAACACATCCACACTGAAGCAGAGCTGAAAGCGCACTGAGGTCTGATAAGCTAGCGCTATCTCATGTGGTTCCGTAATGGCTTTGACAGTGATGAAGTAGAATTCGACAATTTCTATTGTTCATGTAGTTGGTCATTCTAGTGATTTGTATATTGATTGATTGATTTAATGTTGTTTTATGTCTAGTTTGAGAAATTTTCACTCAAGTGCCGGTGAAGGGCTTCAATAGACATTTACTCGGCACTCAGGAAAATTGAGCAGTGAGGGATCTTTATCGTGCAATGGCCTGCCGTGACACAAGGCCTCGGTTTTTAAGGTCTCATCCAAAGGACCTGCGACTTTCAATTCAGATAGCAAAGCGCTTGGCGAAGAAACAGTTGCTGCCAATTTTTAAGCGCATGCGCAAGCGCTTTATTAGGGAGTCTTCATGTACAGAAAGTCATCCAATCAACGACCCCTATCGGCATGATGTTATTCTAAACATAGCGACTCAAATATTCCGATTTGTGCATTTTCTAAAAATAGCAACGCTGAAGTGATCTAGCGCTGTGCAATTTTATGATGGATTTAGCGGTGAAGACCAGAAAAGTTCCTCGCACTTCTTCTTTTAACAATGTGAAACATTATCACAGTGTGGGGTATGCTATTTCCAGACTTTGACATGTCCAAAACTCGAAATCCTAAAGACCAGTGACTTAAGGCTAAGCGGATATAATTATAACAGAAGACATTGTTTATTCCTGAAAAAGTGCAGCGTAAAACTGATTAGATTTACTTACATACATATGTATAGATTCATGTAACAGTGTATGGACGGAAATTCGAAACAAGTAACTCATGTAACTAGAGGTTAATTTGTTCATTATTATTCATTCAATAAACCTTTGAATATTCAAGAGAAAAGAAGAATAGGTCGAGTTTGATTAAAATCCAATATGTAATTTACCAGTATTATTTGTGCAACATGTCTTAAAAACCCTATGAAGCTATTTACGGAAAACACTGTATATGTTTCTGTAATGTCTACAGGAATGGTTTACCTCATTTTTTTCGGCAAACTATAGACGCAAGCTTCTGTGCTTTATATAGAACGTTTATAAATTATACGTTGACTAATACTGAATACGTTATATATAATATAAATTTTATATTTAAAAAAAGAATACATTCCCGACTTGTTTTCTAAAAGTCACGATAAATTGTAGGGACTACTGTTGCTTGCTGCATGTTGCACTCAACACTTAATGAAGATAGTGCTTGTAAAAACATGATGTAGTAGAAGTTGTAAAACAAAGAGTTAAAATCTTGATTGACATTTGTACCTCTACACGTAGGTATAATAAATCCCCTCCCCTTCAATCTTGATTTAATATACCAGATACTTGATTAGGTGATAGAAAATATGTACGCTACTATGCCAAGGCTCATAAATTGACGATTTGAAGTATTTAGTTAAAAAAATTGTGTATGGCTGGTTGCCCAAACTTTTGTTTTCTATCGACAAGAAGAACCTCCCACAATGAAAGAGGCATTCTAATTTGTAAATTTGACATTTGAAGCGACTTTACTTTTCAAGAACACATAGGAAATGAAGAAGTTAATTTTCGGGAACAATATTCAAGTATATATTTGGATGGTTGTTCATGTGACAAAAATCACTTCTTATGACGTAAAGAACTTAAAAAGTATACGTATTACCTTGTTCATAAGTTTACATGGATGCCATCAAGAAAGGAGTGGGTATACATAAATACCGGCGTGACAAAGCAATACGCCTGTCAGAATGTACTAATGTACTAGTATTTATTTTTTGTCATCACTTCTACGTACAGTATCGATAGAAATATGATTAAGCGCGATAGAAACAAATTACATGAGTTGCTTGCATATTCATGCTCCAAGGATCGTGATCAACTGGAATCATGTTCCTTTAGTAATTATTAAATAAATTAAACTTAAAAAAATTAACATTTTGAAACATCTTAGATCTGCATTAGATTCCCAACAAGTTTATGTAAGTAGATCTATGACTATTTCTGAAAATGGGCATCATTATCAAGTTTGTATTCATCAGACTTCTATTATCTAACTTAGCTTAGTGCTTTTCAGTACTGTCAGTACTTTGATTTTTAATCGACTTAGGTCAGTCGAGACCAGGGTTTGAACCCAAGATCTTCCGATCACAGAGCGAGCGCTCTATACTAATAGAGTGACGGTATGCTGTGAATATTAGTTTTCTTCATATCCCTATGTTATGTGCTCTGCATGTTTAAGCTGTTCAGATAAAATTATATTTTAGGAGAGGAATACTTGTGTCCAGCAGGACAGACGTCTCTTACTTTCTTCACACCTTGTCAGAGTAAGTAATCTCTGTAAAATTCAGGATGCCTCTGGTAATTATGCTTTTAAAACATATTCAATTTTTTATTCAGTTTTTAAAATGAGGACTTTTTTTAAACGAATTATACAGGAATAGTGAAATGTTTCCTTAGTGATTAGAGGATTTGCAATTAGAAATCTCATTTTTTCACTTATTGGACATATTTTAATGTACATTGTATATATTCACAAATGCGAAGTATGAGTTAAAATACAAAAGAAATTCTGCATATGGAGTGAAAACATTCCATATCCAACTTTAATACATTGAATTGTCTAATTTTTTCTTTCGTTTTTCTTTTTCACATTTTACTAGTCTTACAAGCTCTTTCTTCCTAACACTGTGCTGTAGCTATGATGTTATTTTTATGTCTTTTAGAGATTGAAAATTATAAACATTGACGTTAAGAAACAATCTGGAGAAACTTTAGCTGTTCAAATCAATGTCAGGATAGTTTTTTACTTTCGCTATCAATTCCATGTATTTTTTTTAACACTTTCCATGAATGTAAAAAATAAAGAGCTGTTGTCGCAAACTTATTTTCACAGCGTGAAAATTACACGTTTGTAATTTTCACACTATGAAAATAACGTTTGTGAGACCATCAATCTCTTTCGTTGGATAAAATACAATATTTCACTGTAAGTGTCCGAAATACAATAAACCTTTTCTTATTTTAGCATATACTCCAGTGAATACGAAGCCTAGAGTAAATGTATCATTAGAATACATTACTCGAAAAGTTGACACTGGACCTATAGCGGCGGTTTTTAAGTGCCTGTTTGCAGAACCCCCTGGGGACCCTTACTGGTACGATACCCATTGGTACATCAATAATGAAGAAGTAAAGGTTGTGGAATCTCGTCCCTATCAGGACAATCAGAGCTGGCTCTACCCTAAAGACTGGGTACATAAGCACAACATGAACATGATGGTAAGTTGTATATATAGCAGAGGTACTTGGCATGTAAGAGTTTTCCATTCTTCAACAAAAAATGGGATTCTTTATGATAAAGGTGATGACTTCAACTTTTCCACTGTCAACTTCCCTTACTTATGAAGCAATATACCCATGTCACCTGCATATATAGGGTTTATATCTGCAAGTTGATTCGATACGCAAGAGCATGCTCCACGTACGAACAATCTAGTTTAAATTCATCATGATCATTTTGCAAGCTCTATGATCAATACAGTTACCTTGTCAGAAAATACAGTCTATCATTAAGTCGAATGCTGACTGACGATTTTCATTATCATTGATAGGCCAATATTTAAACATTAAATTGTCTACAGATTTTTCAGTTTGCCCAATCATGACAATGAGCACACGACGGGTGTGACCGGTCGACAGGGGATGCTTACTTCTCAATGGTAGGTGATCCCACCCCTGATGATTTTTAGAGATCCGTGTTGCTTTGCTCCAAATTTGTATTGTTTCAATGGACTTTCTAAATTGATTACTGCTCGTTATCTTCATATTTCATTCTAAAGATTGCAAAATTACACCTCGGGCTTCAAGACCATAAATTGATAATAAACTTAAGTCAAAAACTTGATTTTTTAGAATCTCGATATTTATTTCACATACATGTACGTGTTTTAAAAATTGCAAGTTTTTTCAATATCTAAATATAAACACCATAAAAATTTTATCATTACATTGCTTTGAAATCTTGACTTAAGCCTATCCTTAATTTATGGACTTAAAACTAGATTTCATGATAAAACGGGGAATCAAGATTGTCATGGATTATCCGCGAGTTTATGTAAGGTTAACTTTGTTGTGACGTCATGATACTTTACGTTACGTTTCTATAGATAACAACAAGTCTCAAATAAACCACTATACGATTAAGACGTCTTTTATTTCATTCCACAACATTTTGGTTCCCGGAGTGTCATGGATTATCCGCGAGTTTATGTAAGGTTAACTTTGTTGTGACGTCATAATACTTTACGTTACGTTTCTATAGATCACAACAAGTCTCAAATAAACCACTATACGATTTTATTTCATTCCACAACATTTTGGTGCCTTGAACGACGGAATTCTACGTAGTACATACAATGGAAGGAAGACTAAAAGCTATTCGAGCCGGCAACAGGTCAGCAGTTACAAAGCTATTTGGACGGTTTTTGGACTTGAAGGAAAATTTTGGACTTGAAGGAAAATCCAGCCAGTGAAGAAATTACCGACGAAATCAACATAATTAGAAAGTCTCTCGCGCTGAAAAGGCAGACAAGAATTGAACGACTGCATATTGAATACTCTATCTGAAGAGGATATCGAAACAGAAATCGCAAATACAGATGAGTACATGTATGAATTAGACTGTAAAATTAGGCAAACTGAGAAATTTACAGAAAAAATTCCATGTAAAACTTTGAATGCCAATACCGAGTGTTTTATACCCACCACAGATATTCATGCTAATAACGTTAACACGTCAGCTACAATTAACTCAAGTGAAACGGCTTGTGAGAATATTTTGAACAATTATCCTGTCTCTGATCTCAATGCACAAAGTAGCCAGGAAAATGTTTTGTTATTAACATCCCAACACGCCACGAATAATCACCGATTACCAAAGTTAGATCTTCCGCATTTTTACGGAGATGTATTAGAATGGAATACATTTTGGGATTCTTACGAATCAACGATTCATTGCAATCATACTTTGACGCCAATTCAAAAGTTTAGCTATCTCAAAGCTCAATTACGCTACACAACAGCACAAACAATAGCAGGATTTGCGCTTACAAATGCTAATTACGAAACGGCAATAGACTTGCTCAAAGAACGATTTGGTCAGCCACAGAAAATTATTAACGCTCATATGAGAGCACTCATCGAACTTCCTGCCCCAGAAATGATGCCATTAGTTTAAGAAATTATGGAGATTTCTTGGAATCTCGTGTCAGGAGCTTCGAGTGTCTAGGACAAAGACAAGAGATGTTTGGAGCATTACTTATTCCAATCATAATCAACAAGCTACCAACTGAAATTAGGAAAAACATTGCACGTGAGTACGATGGTGACAACATTTCACTACAAAATCTTCGTAAAGCTATCAGCAAAGAAGTCAAAATCCTTGAATCAGGCCATATTGAAAACAGCGATGGATTTCACGCAACAGCAATGTTTCTTACTGGAGCCTCAAAGAAACAACACAACGTTCATTATTCATGTAATCAGAAAACAAGAGAGTTAACTCCTTATGTTGAAACAACAGAGATGAAGAGCCGCCCATACATTTATTGTTGCACAGAGAATCATTTTCCAGACGTAAGTGCAAGATTCGACATCTTAAAACGGAAGAAATTATGTTTCAACTACTTGGGAAACCACCGCGCCTCAGATTGTAAATCCCGCAACAGGTGTAAAAAGTGTCAGAAAAAACACCACACAAGTATATGCGACATGAAACTAACGAGGGACAAAGACGAGCCCACCAAATCAACAAGTGTCAACATCGTAGAAACGAGCAAGAAGTCAGAAACCACAGTACTGAACGTTGAACATCGACCTACTAGTGTTTTACTGAATACAGCTAGGCCTATCTCTCCGATAAGTCGGACCGTGGACTTCATGCAAGAAGAACGTAACAAGTTGACTAACGAGATACAAAAATTAAAATCAGAGCTGAAGATCCAGACACAAAGGAGGAACGCACTGGAGCAGGAGAATACCACCCTGTTAGAGAGAGTGTCACAATTCGACCAACAAAAGGATTTTCAGACTCGTGTAGAGAATGTGATGAAGGAAATGATGGAACAGAAAAGTAAACTGGCATACGAAAACGGACGTCTGCATAAGGAGATTCAGGAATTAAGGGGTCAAGTTGACATACTCAACACCGCCAGCTCTGACTCGGAGCACGTCAAGGCTAAAACCAGCAGTCTTCAGTCACGATATGATTACGCTCAAAGGGAAATAAGCGATCTGAAGATAGATGTACAGAGATTGGAAAATCAGCTGCAAACTTTACAGGGCTCCGTGGATAGCAGGAAGAGAGATTACACGTTCGCTGTAAAGACTCGTAATTATGCACTAAGGGAGAAAACTCAGCTAATAGAAAAACTTAAAGAGGCCGAGGAGAAGGAAAAAGATGAGTCACAGAAAAAGAATCTTAGTGGCAGGGCAGAGATAAAGAAACAAAATAACAACCGACATACTCGGAACATGGAGCTGGAGAAAGCTAACACAAAATTAGGTGACAAACACTCGGAAACTGAGACTGTGAAACAAAACCTGAAATATAACGAGTCTGAACAGAAGAGGACTGAGTATCACAAACAAAAGCCAAAGAAAGAATCCATGAATGGATCCGGGCCTCTTAATTTAGTGATTATGAACTTGCTTTTTATTTCACTGGAACTGTTAGTTATATGAACTTTAAATTTCACTATTCATTTTGGTGCCCGGAGTGTCATGGATTATCCGCGAGCTTATGTAAGGTTAACTTTGTTGTGACATCATAATACTTTACGTTACGTTTCTATAGATAACAACAAGTCTCAAATAAACCGCTATACGATTAAGACGTCTTTTATTTCATTCCACAACAAAGATTATCAAGTCCTTGTATTCCTAACCATATTATGGAAGTGTGAACCTGACATCATCGTTTTCAAAATTAGCTCAAATATGAATATTATTGAAAAAAGAAAACTTTTGATCGTTAGAAACTCAGAGACATGCAAAAATTATAACTCTAGATCTTCAGTAGGATAATCAAGGTGGTCATTTTTGAACGTCAATAATCTACGTAGAATAAGAAGACTCGGGGTTTGTCGAAAATGCGTCATCACCCTTAAAATCTGCACACTCTTCATGAGGAAGACTTATCCCTGTAGAAATTGACCAGTTTTTAGTTTCCATTAAATGTGTCCATTTCCTTTGGGTATGTCTAAAAGTTCTAAATTAAACATGATGTGGTCACGTACACGAGGTGCAGAGATAGCGAACTTACCAAATCTATTTTTAAGATTAAGTAAATTAACACCCTAGGGGCTACGGCTATGTACTGTAAAAACATATTGAGTGAATATGATAATACAAGTTCAGTTTACTGCTACACAAGATAAATATGACTCTAAGACAAGTCAGATAACTATCATTTTATTTCATTTCGAATTCCGACAATTGCAGTAATGTTGCTCCACACAAACATAAACTAAAAGGATTGATGAAATCAGTAATCATTTGATGATATTGTTGATTCCATTATTGGGAGAATTAATTAAGTAATTGCTTTCTTCAATTGAATTATTGCACCAATCAATTCAATTGAAGGTATCACCAATTCCATTGGAGAGAGCAACAATTCAAATATTTCGCCCAACAATTCTTGCAATTGATGCTATTGACTATCAACAATTGAATTCATGTGTGTATCAATTCAGAATTGAAAATATCATTTATATTTATTATATGAAGAGATCTTCTTAAAAACTGTTAAGTGCATTAGATGAAGTAATGACATTTTCAAATGATTAAATATTTCTTCAATCATTTTAGTTTGCGTTAATTTTGTTCATGGGATGAATGTGAAGATGTTGCTCCATAAGAGTTCGTCAGAAAAATAAATAGGACTGTAACCCGTATCTCGAAAACTGCTTGCCAATCTTGGCATCACTCACCCCTTTCCAAACATACATCCCTTAGGCAATTTGGATAGAGGTAGTTTTTCAAAGTGATCATATTCTTTTTGGTGATACATGTAGAAAACTGACCCTTGGATTTTTTATCCAAAATAAACACATTTTTTATACTGTTGGGGGCCGAAAAGTTACCCCGGATTATCATTCTACGGGGGTCATTATTCGTCTTGAATTTACGTTGGCAGTTTTATCCATTCGCCTAAACGTTACACATTCATATTCGAGATCTTTCAAAAGTAAGTATAAATAATGCATGACTACTTACTT